GGTGTTAAGATTTGAATAACAATAATGATATTTAATATTATTTTAGTTATAAAGGAATCATTTTCTTAATTTTTTATGATGATGATAATAATAATAATAATAACTAATTTGTGTATTGACTTTTCGTTTCTTCAAATATTTCGATTACATGTCATAGTCTCGCATGCAGATACATTCTTTAAATAGCAACTCTCTTAACAATTCGGCCAAACCGCATGTCTAATGGAGCTGTTGGGCCAAACTATGGATTTAAGGACATTTTTTCATGTCCTTACTAACAAGAGAATTTTTCTCACGCAATGACCCAAGCTAATAGCTATCTAGGTGTCCCTTTTAGGCAATTTTAAAGTTCTGAACTTGTTGGCACCGTTCGTTTTACAAATAGTTGATGATTGGTTGAGGCATGTTTCACTAAATTTGCACGACTTCGCGTCTGTAATCCATAGTTTTTATTGTGTTTGATCGAATCAATTGCCAGCCCTCTCTTGGTAATTACAACGATCTAGATGCATTTGGGTGGTCCATTTTAAGAAACCAGTGAGATTTAAATAATTTCAATGCAAGTGAGGCTTTAAGAGATAGTTCTATGCAACGCTGCATCCTTCGTCGATCGTTTTCATCACATTCGATTGATTTGGGTTTTGGAATAGATGTAGAGGCCAACAAAGAGAAGGTGCTAGAACGAATAATAAGAACTAGCCAAAAAACCATGTAAGAATTAGCGAGTAAGCATAAATTGAAGAACCAAAAAGAAGCTACTAGCTCAAGTGAAAGAGAATTATGATCCAATGAGCAATGACTCAATGACTGACAAATAATAAGAAAAAGAAAATGATTATGCCTAGTTATTATGGTAGGTGTTGAACCAAACTATAAAATCTAAATCGTGATTTCACTCTGAGCAAGAGCCGAGCACATAGCGCTATGATGGGACATGGAGAAGCGGTGCAACATGCACGCTTTGCTAAGAGCTTGTGCTTCACAAACAAGCAATGCACAAAGCTAGCCCATCGCTTCTCTGTAGCCCACGAGCTGTGAAGCGTGCTTTTGACAATATTGATTTTTAATATAGATTTTGCTATCACTTGCATGGCTTCTTTCTAGCAATCTTGAAATTTGAATCCGTTGGCTTAAATGGCTATCCTTCCTTGGACTGAATTTGATTGGAAACTTAATTGATAAACTTCTTAAAAAACTTAAAAATGTATTGGAATTTTCTTGGGCATCTAAATCAACCTGAAATATTTCTGAATATTCATAAAATTACGGAAGCTGGGATCCTCTTGTATTAAGAAAAAATGATATGATAGTTCCAATGAACTTTAAAATTGATTAAATTTTTAATTCAAATTGAAATCAGAAAAATTCAAATGTTTTAGCTTTTTTGTAGTACTTAGATTTTTTTTAATTGTTTATTTTTTTCCTGAAATTATTATTATTTTTTAAATTTTCCTTCCTTTTTTTGGAGTTTTTGCAGCTATATTGGAGGTAAAAAGACTGATAGTCATGCTATAATGTTTAAATTATCTGAAGTTGTAAAAATAGCTATTGCATGAAAGATAGATTGAAACTTTAAAGATGCGAAATTTCACCAGCTAAATTGAGTTTGTGAAGGAGAAGGTTGCGGGGAAGTTTTTGGGAGTTTGTCTGGAGGGCATATGGAGTACAGAGCAAATAGATTCAGTGGAAGAGGTGAAGGTGATGCCATGATCTCTTGAAGCTTTAAAAGAAAACACACCTTATTTTTTCGCGGAGAACTCTTTGGATTCAGGGTCTCCATCTCTTATACTAATTGATAATGATAAGGGCAGCAGAAGTGAAGCGTACTTTATATATACTTTGATTTTTGATAAGATAAGAATATAATCTTAGCAATAAAGAGAAGAGGATTGAGGATATCAAAAGAATGAATGTCTCAAAGAAAAGTATGTAGTATGTAGAAAGCATGAAAAGTTTTGTGATTAGGAGAATGGAACATGCCATTTCACCACCGTACATCCACTGGAGTAATACTGCGACAACATGCAATTTCTTAATTCCTTAATCAACCATCTTCAATTACAACCTAATGCCTACTCTTTATGATAATAACCATAACTTATACAGTTTAACTCTAATGACAAGGAAAACCTTCAAACATGTATACTGTAACAAAAAAAAAAATCTTACTGTAACAAATGGCCATTATACCTTTAACAAATAACAAAATGACAAATAAGTACAATGGCTTTGACATGACACTATAATATTGACTGGATGGACACATATAAACACTCGTGCTGACAACTGAAATTAGATGTCTTGCACTACATTACAAATAAACTGATTGTACTTTTGGGCAAAAGAAACAAACGGAAGAGATTTATCATCTTGTTTCAGTCCAATCTTTTCTAAATACTTCATGCAAAGAAAATGATGTGAAACCAACATGCGTAGGAGCTCATTAAGACAATTAAGAAGGATTAAACAATTTAATATCACTTGAAAGCTTATTATCGAGACAAGATAATTCAATAAAGATTCTTGGTTTTCAACTCGCTTAGGCGAAGGAGTACATGTAAATTAATTAATCCTCGGAGATAAATAAAAATAGTAGCAAAGCTAAGAGCTATTAAACAACAATCCAAAATTTAATAATGAGAAATTTCACCTTGGGGATTATTCACTCGACTACACTAGGCTTGGCGAGAGAAGATTTTGCAACTAGAATTGAGATCACCACTAGGAAGAAGATGCCGGAAGTCTTTGTCCACGGGAAAGTAGTCGGAGTAGGTGGGGTTGGCGGATGTCCGGTGATGATCCAACGACTTGGTCGAAGATGGATCTCATGATCCGCCATTCAACATTGAAGTGGAGAGGGGAGGCGTCGTCTTCTCCTTTCCTTGGTTTCTCTATTCAAAGGACGAGAGAGAGGTGGTCGGCGGGATTTTCAAGGAGTGGGAGAAGTTTCGGCCAAGTGGGAGAGAGGGGCGGGTGGGGAAAAATTAGAAGAGCTAGGTTAGATGAGGTGGCAAGTGATTTACAAAAATCTGGAATTAATTCTCAGATTTTAGTATGATGGAGGGAATAATTTGAAAATGAGATTTCAAATTCCAAAAGTAATTAAGGGGGATTTAATGGGTAATCAAGAGGGGCCCATATAGGTGGCCGGCGGCTTAATGAGGGAGAGAGAGGGGGTTTCTAAAGTTAAAACTGAAATTGAATTTCAGTTTTAAGAGAATTGGGAGGGAAATTTTGAAATCCAATTGAATTCCAAAACGGTCATGGCATTAAAGCCACCATTAATGGGAATTTCTCCATGGGTGGCCGGCGGCTTGCATAGGGGAAGGGGAGAGGAATTAGTGGAGAGCTAGGTTTCCAATTGGAGGTGATGATGTGGCGATGACATAAAGATTTCAATTTAATTTAAATTGAAATTAAATTTGTCATGAAAAACTTTCCAAATTTGGAATTCCAAATTAGGAAAGATTTTGAAACTTAAAATTCAAATTTCAAATTTGGGTATGACGGAAACAAAAGACTAAAATGCCCCTTGGGCTACAATAGAGACCAAATACCCATAAGGGTAAAAATGGAAAAACTAAAATAAAATAAATTACTACATAACATGACAAAATAAATAAAACTCCTGATCGTGGCCGTCGATCTCCGGTGTCTCCGATGTCACACATGTCGAAATTGCTGACGATGTCCTCATCAGGAAATGATTTTTACTAAATGCTTATAATAAGTTCAATATATTGCATTATATATAGTAGAGTATAATGTATTTACTTAGGATCTGTTTGTGACGATTCACTGTTTCTTTGCTTTATAAAAAGCTGTTAAATGATCGTTTGGGGCATTGCGGTGAAATCATGTTAGGAAAATTTCCGCGGCTCATAACTGCTTCCCGCGATCTTTCACTACCTCTTGCGTCAGCTGCTTTCCTCGGTTTCGAAGGGCAAAAATGACGTAAATGCCCCATTCGTGTGAGAGTGCTCGATCATTTCCGATCTCCCTCGTCGTCAGTGATGTCATATTGCGACCATTAGCAATAGCTGTAGCACCGGTGGTGGTGGCCGATGATAGTGCAATCCTTGGTGTCAGCCTTGCTATCTATGCAACGACATCCTGGGTCAAGTATCTTGCATCTTCCTCCTCCCTGGACCGAATTCACTTTGCACCCTCACCTTGGATCTCCGATCTCCGGGCACCTCTTGCCTCATATGACGGAGAATGCGAGGGCGAGGGCGAGGGCGAGCTGGTCGTTGTTCGTGACTAGGTTCATCTAAAGCTTACCGCTGATTCTAACTGGGTGAACTTGAAAAACCAAAGCATACTTATTTCTCAGGGATCTGGGGAATGGGTTGCTATTGTGCAGTAGACTCAAATGGTACTCTTTGATTCTGGACTATTGGTTAACCTGAAGAATGATAAGTTAGAAAGTATATAAGACTTAAAGAATAGCTGGGGAATTTTCGGTTGATGAAGTTCCTTAAGGCTAGGGCCTGGAAGGGTACATGTTAGTGAAAGACTGGAGAACTTGGACAGTGCAAATTGTTGTTTATTGGCATTCCGATACTACTTTGATATTTAAAAGCAATAAAATATTTTCTAAAGTTGATAAATTTTAATTTATAATGGTTAGCTTTTTATCATAGAAATTTTAAAAAAAAATTGGCATTTAATCAATTTCCTTTCATCTCAATATATATAAGAGTATAAACGTAATTTGTTCTCGTAAAGCTGCATAAAAGCAGCTCGATAGTTAGACTTACCTAACAAAATATACTGTTTTCTGTACAGCAATTTCAGAACTTAGTTTTCTATACAACAACCTCACAATCTGTTTTACCGACAGCTACAGCTGTTCCAAACGAACCCTTAATGTTTATAATAAGTTTAGTATATTGCATAGTGTATTGTAGATTAAAATGCATTTTAAAACTGCTGTAATTTGTAGCCATGATAGTATGATTCAAATCGTTGTTTCTTTAAAACTGATTGATGCTGGTCAGAGGATTTGTTCTTTATAAACCGGAAAAGGATTTGTGATTCTGCTGCAATAGCCAAGACGAGGGTCTAGATTTCAGGCCATTGTTGATGCAAGCAGCAGCAAAAACAACAACAACATCAAGCCTTTATCCCATTACATGAGGTCGGCTACCTGAATTCTTTTTCTCCATTGTCGCTGTATGCAAGACAACAAGTTTGGTTATCAATTAGCTAGCCTCATTTACTTTAAGCATGAAGAAATATGTATATAGAATGATAATATACGTGTATTTAAAGTTTCAAATGAAGGTTCTGGTGACACGTCACTTCATTAAGAGACTCACTATGTAGACGTTGAAATTCAAACTTTTGTTGCAATTTTTCTTGATTAAAATTCGTGTGCTAAAGCAAGCCATAATGTTCTGATTTGGTCATTTTTGACCAATGACCAAAATCGTTTATTATAAAACCTCTAGATTGTTATGCTAATCATGATCTGCACTGTCAGTTCAAGTTGGATCTATCAAATCGGATTGCTTTTACTGTCAATACTTTATCATTGTATCTTACTATGCAGGTTTTTGTCTTTGTGGCTGCTGAATATGATACCCCTCAAAATGCACTGAATCAGGCAAGCTGAATGATTTCTTATGCATTAGAAATAAAAATTGTCCTGAGGAAGTTTGATGGTTAATATTTTAATAAATGTTTTTTTGTATTAGATTGATTTTGTGGTCTTTACATGAGATTTGTTTCCAGTTTTATTAGATGTAAGAGCACCTAGTGGACTAAAATATGAATCCATAAATGTCTCTTCCATCATGTCATAGTTCCAGTGATTTTGTTATTGTGATCAACCTAGTATAAAATGCCATCTTGGTGTCACATCTCTCAAGTACCAGAGCTGATTCTCTATGTGGTCTTCTTAAGGCCAAGTGATGTTGGTCATGTTAAAGTCTAGGGTTTACTAATGGAAATTAGGATGAGGTGTACAAAGAAATACACAAACGAACACAATTAATATATTACCAACTTTTGATTTTAGTGAGTGTTAGTCACCTTTGATGCAAAATCAACTGACATTTATTTCCTTCCATACAAATAATTTAGCTGTCGCCAAAGTTTAAAGTTTCACTAGAAAAACTTAGCAAATATTAAATTCAGCAATGATCAAGATTCACATCACAAAAGGTAATCTAACATGTATCAAACATGACAAAACTTCAATCATACACTTACCAATCGCGAGGATAAGTTAATAGAAAGAATAATGATAGAAATCACCAAATTGAAGATTCAGATCTCACATTGCTACAAGGAAACTTATCTCCTCGTAGTCATTAAGATTTGTGAAATGTTCAAAGAATCTTCATGTAACTTTACACATACAAGGATTGGTAGGAAAATTAATATTCTATGATTCTTAGATGCCTCAATAATTCTATTTACTATAGCTCGGAAAGGACCTAAAATAAATAAGTCCTCATAATCCTATAATATCTCATGAAATACTACAAGTTTTAATTAAATGTGTTTGGATTCTATTAAAAACAATGAGTTCTCAAAAATTAAAATTCACATTCCACCTAATTTCTAAGCTAGTGTTACTCAAAGGAAAAAAGAACTTTTGCCTGTTAGTTACAAAAGGTAAGACACGTGTAAGCCAAGCTTACCAAATCTAAGAAAATTGCAGATGAACGTTCACCGTCTATAAGCTACAGGCCAGGGAATCAGAAGTTAAAGATTGCTTATAAAATGAAACTTACATGTGCTAAATACTGTGAAAAAAGAACTTTTATTTGGTCCGGTGCAAGGACCTAGAGGAAGGTTCGGTTTTACCTAAAAAAGTGCAAATACCGAGTTTTTTGAAAAAATACCGAGTTTTTCAAAAAACTCGGTATTTGCACTTTTTGACCTATTTTTGCCTAAAACCGAACCTTCCTCTACATCCAGTGAAAGGACCTATGTGATAATAGGAGGGGCATTAAGTGTGGGCTCCGAAAATTTGAGCCCCGGCCTCCCTGTTGCTTTTCAGGGGAGTTTTAACGGAATTAAGTTCCGAGGTAAATTTTGTAGATAAGACATTACCCAGAGATTTCACCCTCATTTTGTGAGGACTTTATAATATGAGTTTTGATTTCATATAGGCGCAACCCCCTATAGTTAATTACCCCTCTTGGTAACGAGAGAGAACTTTCGATTAAGGTTGGTCGTCGATCAAATATGTAGAGGTACGTGTTATCTGGCATATATTAGCAGCATTGGTTTTTGTATTTGAAAAGTTTGATATTTAAAATTTGAAACTTCTCCATCTTGCACTTAAAATGGATGGTGGGGCAATGTGATGAGCCCGATCAAGATCCCATGGTTCCGTCATCCTAGGCCATCATGGTCCCTGGTCTACTTAGTCAGAGGAGGTAGTCGACCCAACATGATAGAAGATCCTTGTCGGTAGCCATGAGTTGCTTCATCCTTGGGTACCTCGTAGACCTGGGGGGAATATCTGTCTAAAGGGATAAATTTGAACCCACCTTAGCTAACAAAGAGCTTTGTGCCCTATCGATTATACCCTATTGATTCATATCTAAAAGATTTGATGTCATTGGGGAGCATACAGGCTCTGGCCATGACCGTAATTTAGCGGTGCCATTTGGTGGAAAATAACATGGTTTAGAGGGACCCAGTCATAAATGTTTACATGCGTTGCCATTTGGCAGCAAAATCGCCGGTTAGAGGACATGTGCCGCGTCCTTACTGGTAGGAGATTATTTGAGAATGAATCCTAGTGATGCGCAGGAGGTGGAGGTAGCGGAAGAAGAGGTAGCGTCTGTGCGATGACATATGTGCGGAGAGAAAGGGGAGAAGAGGGTTTTGGCTTATGATGCACATGAGGTGTAGGTGGCGGGCTTCGATCATGGTTTCTCAGGCTGCAACGTAGTCAGGTGAGGGGGTAATATTGCGTAGGTTAGGCTATTGGGAGCATGAGGGAGATATGGAGAGAGTGGGACAAAGAGAGATTAAGAGAGAAAGCATGTTAGAGAGTAAGTGATGGGAAGAGTATGGGGTGTCAATATTTGACACGACCCGAAAACTCGACATGAACCCGACCCGAAAAATTCGGGTTAGCATCAACTTGGACCCGAAACGGGTCGAATTCAGGTTCAACAAATTAACCTGTTTCAAAAATTGGGTCAGGTTCGGGTTGACCCAAAAACCCGAAATTGACCTGAAAACCCGTTTTGACCCGGAAACTCGAGATTGACTCATTTTTACCCAAAAATTGGAGAATGACCTATTTTTTGACTCGAAAACTAGCAATTTTTTATCAGCCCTGCCCTGGGTCATTCGGGTCGTGTCGGGTTCGGGTCCGAAAAACTGATCCGTTTTCAAAAATGAGTTTGATTCGGATTGACCCGAATAGTGTCGGGTCAGTTCCAAGTTCGACCCGAACTTGACCCATGATCCAAAATTGACACCCCTAGGGAAGAGAGGAGGGTTCTTGCTCTTTAAACAAGATGGGGTAGTGGACTTGAGAGAGGAGAGGGGGTGATGTGGGATTTTCTTAACTTTAGTTTTATTTTTAATATATATTTTTTAAAAATGATAATAATAATAATAATAATATTATGATGATTACAAATTTTATATATATATATATATACACACACTAAAACAAAAGGAGATTAATTAAGGATTTATCTGCAACCAAAGGCACCACCGTTACCCAAATTCAAATCCACAGAACCATCCAAATTCTCCGTGCAAGCCAATATCCGGTGAGCGACAAGCCCACAGGATCAACAGAAAAGCAAGATTTTTCCCACAGGAATAACTTCATCAACATTACCACATTCAAGCATTTACACCTTAAGTCAATTCACATATACTACATACGAAAGTAAAGTGAATGCATTACATGAGATAATTTCCACAGGGCGTTCGCAACAGAATGAAAAACCGAAACAGTATCCGAACTACAGTTACCAGAAATATGCCCCAATTTTTACACACATAGTTAGTTCTTACTTGCTTATCAAAAAATAGGAAAATCATCAAAACCACCTCTGGCCATCACCTAATAAATCAGATCCTAGCCAACATTGTTTAGGATAATTTTTTGTAATATCGATTTCGTACTAACGAACCGCGGCAATCGAGTGACGAGAGCCAACCGACGTAGCTTCTCGATTTTCAAGTTACCAAGAATAATTTCCCGCCCAGTCCAAAAAGAATCCTCGGAGCAAAAAATGCCATCGGAGGAATGAGAAAGAATCCTAATCCGGTATTATCGGCACTCAACACGATATCCAAAGTCGGCCTCCCTTTCGTAATTTCATATAACAATTGAAAAAACCAATAAAGAACGATGACAAAAAATTCTGCAGTAGTCCAAGATCATTTTCCAATTTAATCAAAAATGGGTTAGAATCCAGTACAGTAACCTGAACATCTCATTCAAACTTTAGGTTTAAAAAAAATAAATCTTAAGCATCAAGAGGAGGACGTTTACCCGAAAGAAAAACCAACTAAAGAAAAACCTAAATGGTTCCGCTAAAGCCCTAATTCATCATCAGAAACGCACAAAGCAGGCAAGCCACTGGAAAGTCAGACCGTTTCAAATTCAAGAAAGAGAGTAGAAACCAGCAAGACTTGGAGAAAGGACTAGAATGAGAATACCCCACCAAAAAACCAGGGTCTCTCAATAAGACGGAGGCATTACACAGCACGAAAAAAAAGACGAAAAACCTGAAAGCTAACCACCTAAAGAGACAGAGAGACAAAGTAGGGAAAACTTTCCTGAGCAAACCGACAGAAAATGCCCGCGCCGGCGGGGAAAAGCCACCCGCCCCACCAAAGAAAACCCTAGGGTTTTCTCAGAGAGCGAATATTACGACGAGAACTTCTTTGAATCAAGATAACAAATATACGCAAACAATCAAAAAAGAAACATTCATGCAATAATTTATAGAAACTATTATATACATTCTCAAAATAACTTTTATTTTACTTATATAAATAATATAAAGTTAATGATTTAGAATTTGAGTGTTATCAAAATAACATAAAAATTTAGATGTGTGGTCTCCGAAAATTTGAGCCCGCCATTGCTTTCGGGGGATTTTAACGATTAAGTCTGGGGTAAATTTGGAAAACAGATTGGGCTTATAGATAAGATACTAACTGGAGATTTCTCCCCTCATTTTGTGAAGGACTTTATGATCTGAGTTATGATTTTATATAGGCCCAAGCCTATAGTTAATTCCTCCTCCTAGTAATGAGAGAGAACTTTCGATTAAGGCTAGTCGTCAATCAGATACGTAGAAAATACATGTTATCTGAAATATAGTAGCAGCATAGGTTCAGGGTTTGAAGGTTAATATTTAAATTGAAATTTCTACTCTTGCACTTAAAGCGGATGATGAGGGAATGGATGACGAATCCGATCAAGATCCCATGGTTCCGTCGTCCCTTAAATTTATTTCAAGATGTTAAATATATAATTATATTATCATTTTGTGATATGTATGTATGCAAATCCCACTATTTTATAACATCAAATTTCCAA